GTCAATACTGTAACCGATATTTCGACAATAGCATGCCTAATTAATTTGATAGTTGAACTTCGAACTCAACTGTGCTACTATTAAAAATACGCGAGCATAAAAATAAATTGTGCGTGTACTATGTGTAACGTAAGAAGTGAAACTTCTTTATGATCTTATTTTTCGAAAAATGATCTACTATATGCAACTTTACAGAAATTCGTTAAATTAGATAAAGTTTAACAAAAGGCTTTTATTATCATAGACATGAATACAAATATTTCATTTTACCTTATTACTACGAAGATTATTATAGAATTTCATTAATTGTAATAGAATTATTACTATCATTGAAAAACGTGACGATTTGCTACAAAATTTCTCCCATACGTCGATAAAGAAGTTTCATTCCAACGCCGATAAAGAAGTTTGGCTTCAAAAAGCAACATGGCGCGTAACCGAAAAATGTGACGCGTAACGAAAAAATGTTACACTAAATTTTTTTTCCAACCTCGATAAAGAAGTTTCACTTCAACAATTCGATATTCACAATTTGTTCCATGTGCCATCACGAATTAGCAATACAATTACTACAATTTATGAAGATCACGTTACCGAAGAGGGTGTGAGGAAATATTTTAGCGGGAACACTTTGACTTTATTTAGCTGTAGTAACAATTTCTTTAAAATATTAAGTTTTAGTTTGTTTAATTTCAGTTTTCTTTTTTTATCTATTCATTTATCTACTTAATTGACTTATGTTTTCTGTTTCGTATATTTTGTTGAACAATGTAATCTATTTAGCTTTGTATATTGTCTAAGTTTTATTATAATATGTGTAGATTTAAGATTTATAAATAAATAAATTTTATTTTACTATTTTAATACAGGATTTCTTGAAGATGGTGACGATATCAATAAAAACCTTTCGTCGCCTTCAACTTGAGGAACTGGTCTCTGACCTGCCTTTATTTAGAGTCGCAAGAGGTAAAAACTGGCGGAGGTTCTCGAAAAACGGCATTATTTTTTATATTTTTATAGAACAAACGGGCAGGAGACTCATCTGATGTCAAGTGATAGCCGCTCATGGACACACTCAATTCCAGAAGGCCCGCGAGTGCGTTGCCGGCCTTTTAAGTATAGTATTATAGCGGAGACCCTTTTCGAGTCACTCTAGGCGCGCGACAGTAAACCCTGCCCAGTGCCCCCAGGTATAGGTACTATATATAAATTTAAATTCCAATTGCAGATTAAAACAACGTAACACATTAACGCTTCGCCATTTGTATGTTCCGTATAGAAAAGCATACACTTATATCTTCTTCTTCAGTCGCATTCTTCCTCCACTATCTCCTGTCTTCGGCAAGCCTCTGCGCCTGGGTGATGGTAAGACCCGTAATGGCCTTTACTTGATCGGTCCAGCGAGTTGGGAATCGGCATCGAGGTCTGGTGCCCTCCACTCTGGACTTCTAGACTTTCTGGAACTCTATTATATGTTAAAAAAAACACTCATATAATTATAAGTAACGTAATAAATTAGTTTATTAGCGATGTGGAACCCCTATCTTAAGATTAGGTATATTAATCATCAAAACAGATTAGACGTCAATGTTTATCATGTGTGAATCATAATATTTTTGAATTTTTAAAAATATCATATGGATAATATGTGCAAGTAACGATTGAAGATTAAAGGATTTAATCTATATTAGATTATAGAATAATATTTTTATTAATTTGAATTTAAACAAAAATTGTGTTAGTATATTTATTGGGGAATATCACCACGCTGGCATCAATGTACAGTAATAACAGTAAAAAAATGAATAAATACTTTTAATTCGCCAAGCTTTTACATCGTTATACCTGCAACCTGCACATCAAGCTGGTCCTCCAACATTCTCCTGCAACGCTGGGCTTCTAGCGTTGTTGCAAACCTGGAATTATTTATTCCTTTTTTTTACCCCGACCTTTAAGATGTAAAAATGTATGTTAAATGAAACAGTTCGTTCAAATACCTTATGAGAAGTAGGGAATGTTGAACGAAATGGTACTATTCATTTGATTTCAATGAATATTATTAACTAACCTATAAATAAAATAATAGTCAAGTATGCAAGTATTTATTACACATCTTAAGCACGTGGATATCAACAGAGAATACATTGCATAATTCTCTATTCTTGTGCTGATTTTTTCTCTTCATAGTAATCTTTAAGTATTTATAGTATTTATTCTAAACTAGAAGACACTAATGTCGTAAAGTGTTTTGTGCGTATTGTGACCTATTTTAAAGTAATAATAGTATATTATCGGTCTCTTTTTGTTTCCATACTAATTTCCTCCTTATTACGACTAACAATTGTGTGCCTATCCTGTTAAGAATATATAGAAACGAGGTACATGTACTAGGGGCTTGTTTTTTTAGTAGTACGGCCATCGAACCGTTTTTTGTGTTACATTATATATTTATGTCAAAACTTAATACAATTTTTTTTCAAACTAAAGAGATCGGACCAAACAAACAACAAAAACAAATTTGGACAAATTTCTGAAGGCCACATTTAACCAAGTGAAATTTTTTATTTCTAAAACGACAAAGTACATCAAATATTTTCATAAAAAAATTTATTATTTATTAAAAATTACAAGATGAAAAATTAATTTGTCATTTTAAGTATTTTTCTTTACATATTATTTCTGTTTCCCACCGTTTAAACCATCACAGAACTTCCAAAAATATTTCAACAACATATTAAGCCAAATCCGTCCAGCCGATCTCGAGTTTTAACGAAAAAACCGACAGCAATTCATGTTAGTAAATTCGTAGTTTACTCTTTAATTTTGGAACTTCATAATATAAAAATATCACACTACAATAACAGCATCTGGGACTCTGAAATATAATTCTCCAAATATCAACGAACGTAGGTATTTTAGATAAGACTTTGTACGGCCTTCAACTTCATCGAAAAGAATATCAAAATTAGAAACATAGTTTTATCAATATCCGCGTAAAAGAAATGAATTTCAATGAATCTACCGGAAGGCGAATTAATTAAAAACAAATGAAACTAGTAAAAACAGAAATACCTATATGTATAATTAATTTCACATTCATTCAGCTTTTGAAGGATATCTAGAATGTTCTTCTAATTACTATCCAGTAATATTATTTTGGACTGTATAATTTGGCATTAAATCATTAATTTATCATTGTAACTAGCCTATTCGTACATTACCCAAAATGGAGTCATTACGCGCCCCGTATTTCAAAAATCCAAAACATTTTTTACATATTTAGCGCTGTCTCAATTATAATTTAAATACACCATACAAACGACGGAAGACTCCAACTACAAATTATATATAACAAAAAACAAATATATACAAAAAAGTTCAAACATTTACAAAAGGAAAATTTCAATAAAAAATATTAAATACTAACTCTGTAATACCTAATTCCTTTGTGTTGTGTGATGGTGTGAAAGTGAGGGCATGTACGGGAGGGTGTGTATGTAGGGTGTGCGCATGATAGTTATTTAGCGCTATGGATAGTCTTAATACTCCTTTTAAGCATATTCCGCGATAGAATGTCAGTGCTGCGCGACACAAAACTGAGTTTTTTTTGCATAATTGGTGTTAATGAGAGGAACGAGAAACAAAGCAGGATAACGAGTCTGGTTTCTGGTTCATACATATAAAAGTGCTCTCCTGATTTTCATTGTTCATATTGATAAAAAGCACATTAAAATAAGTTTAATAAAAAGATCTTTTCCTCGACGGAAAATAAGTTTTTTTTAATACTTTGTAGAGATTAAATTATTATTAAAATTGCCGACCATTATTTATTAAAAGCCTTGCCTTACCTGTAAAACAATTCATTTCCATCATTAAGTTGTCTTTTGATTCAATTGGTAACGCCAAAAGAGTGCATATGTTTTGTTGTCCTGTTACTTTACCTAAATTAATCTTTGTAAAAAGGTCTATTTAATAAGCTTCGGTCGCAAAGGTTTGAACAGTAGATCTTAAGCTGCGAGTTATAAATCAAAATTGTAATATTTATGAATGTGGAATCATAAATATATTATTAAAACTGTTATATTATAATGATTATGTCAAGAATATTGTAAATACTCTATAATTTTGTTACTTTTATTCTAAAATGCATGTATTCACGCCGTTTATTGCAGTTGTATATTATAAGAAACGCAACTTCCCAAGCTTTAGAATTTGTTACATTTTGCAACGGATAAAAAAGGATTTTACAAATAGTTTTTATATAATTTACTTATCTCTCACGATATGTATTCGCCCTTATTCATACCTAGTTATCATCTTCATTAATTACTCTTACTACCTTGTCGGCTTTAGGCAATAGGTATGGAACCGTTTACTTTTCATATAATGTTTGAAACACGATATGTATTGCAAGTTATTGAAAAGTATTAACAACATAGAGTTCTAAAAATAATCAACGCGGTTGCAGGTAGGCCTATGTTCTAACCACATAAGAGTTCATTAACTTTTGGGTGAAGCATTCGATGTTACTGTAATTAAATATTCTTTGCCCTCTAGGCAATTGTAATAGACTTGACTTTAGGAATTGGTTTTTCTTATTATTACCGAGGTAATATTATCTATTGAACTGATAATAATTGATCAATTGATTTACTTGTATTAGGATTTTTTTTTAAATATGTAACGGAAGTGTGTAATAAGTTAGTTCTTGTATTCTAATATCTCTTTTGACTTTATCGACAACAAAAAATGTTTGGTGTTTTTTGGGAAGAATGAAACGTAAATTAGGTTCAATATCTTTGTTTATTATACTCACTTACAACTATTTATTAAATAAATACATTACTTTGGAATATTTACAATAGACGAAGCGGAATGCTACGATAACAATACATAATATTGCAGAGATTACCTTAAAACTAATTCCACTGGTGCATTTAAATCTAGATCACAGATAATCAACACTTTTGTGTTCAGCCTCTTGAGATTACAATTTACAGTTATTGTCGCGTCAACACTGTCACCGGTTTGTAGATGTGGGGTGTTAGTGGGTGGTGCGAAGGTGAAGACAGCTCAGGGCTGGAAGCACCTGAGTTGCTGGGCGAATGTTGCATGATAGGTGGTGATGGTGGCAGCAGCGGGGACGTCTGCGACATCATTTGAGGGTTGAGGGAGCTCTGGAGTAGCGGCGACTGGCCCAAGAACGGACCCGTCGGCATACGCTCATACATCGCTGGAGAATAGGGTAATCCTGAGTAGTTCTCAGTTCTAAAAGCCGGGTGTACGGCGCTAGGAGTCACTGGCGGGGTCTTCATTTGCATAGGTGCGTATCGCTGGTACAACAATTGCGAGTACAAACCGACCAGCTGAGAGTATGTGGTGGGCGGATAGCCTCCAGGTAAGGGGCCACCAGGGAATAAAGGCCGCTTAAAACAAGCAAGGCGTGATCTGCCGTTCAACGCTGACCGCCGACGGAGCTTGCCAGTTGTACCACCAATAAAAACATCTTCGGCGGACGCATCCAACATCCAGTAATTCCCTTTGCCAGGGTCATCGTAATGTCGCGGCACTTTAACAAAACACTTGTTCAAACTCAGGTTGTGTCTGATGGAGTTCTGCCAGCCCTGCCGGTTCTCTCTGTAGTAGGGAAAGTTGGTCATGATGTACTCGTAGATCCCATTTAATGTGAGACGTTTCTCGGGACTGTTCCGTATTGCCATCATTATTAATGCATTGTAGCTGTATGCAGGTTTTTCATGTTTCTTGTCCTTCTTCTCGTCGTCTTTAGGCTTGGTGCAGTCAACGGGCTCGGTGCCCGTAACATCCAGCTCTGAATCGCTCAAATCCGCTTCAGATGGAGTGGTGTTGGATGTAGTTGGAGACGGCGGCGGTTTGGATGCCGCATGATTCATTAAAATTGCGTTAATACTAAAATCTCCTTCGAACTTCACCATGTTGTATACACTTGTAACACTTTAGATAACGACTCGCGCGTGCGTGCACACTGCGAGCAACGAACGAACTGACGTGCGCGGAGGCGGGCGTAGCTATTTATAGAGCGCGCGTCTCAGTCCGCCTCGGCAGCTTTGAGAGGCTGCGTCCACCAATCGCTGAGAGAGCTTTTCGATACATAGGGATACGCCCCTCGCCGCAATGCCCGCTCCCCGCTTCTCCGCATCCCTCTATCCCCCCTAAACACTAGCAGCATAATATCGCATTTGACGCCACACATTCAAAGCGCCTCTTTATATTATATTGAACATTTCTACACAATTACTTTGTGACAATTAAGTAAAACTTACTCTAAAAGTTAGTGTTTTGTTCCTGGATATTTTTATCGTAAATCTTGATAAAATGGTTACGTACACATTCATAATACGATTTAGATAATAAATAAACTTTGACTAGATATAGGTAGGTGAAACTCCTCATTATATTTAGATAATGACATTGGCAATTTTTTTTATAAATACCTACTACATTTGCCGTGATAAAATATTGATAACAATAGTTGTTATTCGCATGAAATGAAATTACATAGCAAAAGTTATGTTTAAGTTTACGTCTTAGTTTTGTTTTTGTAAAGGGGTAAAGGCCACTGAACTTTCCAATGTGTTCTTTGCTTTCTCCATCCATATTTCCCCAGAAACCTTAAATATGTCGTCAGCCCATGCTTTTGATTTGTAATTTTTAATAGTACTTACGGAATTAATGAGGCTTTATTATTATTCAGTCAGTTATAAGCTATTGTGCCGTATTATTATATAAATGTAGATATCATATCTTTATAGTCATAAATTTTTAATTAAAAAATATATTTTAAAACGCTGTATGTAAAAGCGCTTTCTGTCGTTAACTTAATCTGTAGTTCCAGAGGTTATAAAAAAAATTACAGACTTTATAATATTGGTATAATACGTCGTTTTAAAACAGTACCTAGGTATACCTACCTATTTTGTGATGAATTTCTGTATTTTTTTTTATAACAAGATAATGTAAGAATTCTCTACAAGTTAAAAGTTTTTTTTAACGATGAATTCAGCAGTCTGCTTATAGTGTATGTTACTTGTCAACTCACATTACATAAGTTCACCACATCATATATTAATTTTCTTCATTATACGTTAAAATATGTATGTCTATTCTATAGACAATTACGGCCTTCATAAAAGTTACAAAAAAACTTCCAAAAAAAGAGAAGAAAAATATAACTACAAGTTTTTGCGTAGTTATGATGTTCCCGGTAACTCTCACTGTTATCTATCATTGACGGGTCTAGGTCTTGCCATGCATAAAAATTATTTTAAAAGTTTTAGTAATATATGACCATGAACGTATAAATGTATTATAGAAACCTAGGATCGAAAAGGTTTTAAGGGATTAAGTGTAATTTATATTTGTGTTGGTTAATTTAACAATAAGTATGATATTTATATTAAAAGCTTGACGGCGAACTTAACTGTACTAAACTGTTGTATTTTAGAAAATATTATCATTTATTCTAAAAACTGAAGTGATAAAACTAACAACAGATTGTGACTAATCCTTTGACAATTTAAATGAATCATAGACTTAGAATCGTCGGCACAGTATTACCACGGATCATAATGAGCATTACTATCAATAGGCATAGATTAAATTGGCTGATTGGAATACTTTGTAGCTACAGAGATCTACGATTGCTACGCAACTGCGTCATGACGTGTGACGTATCTGACGTTAGGACAAATGTTATGTCATTGTCATTTGTAGAGAACAGTGGATACGGCATTAGTATTTTTTATTCATGCTGTTTTTACTGCAACAAAAATAAAATAAACAAATCAGTGACACTGCAACATTTTTAGGTCTGGGCCTCAGATTTCTGTATTTGTTACATGATCATCTGGCAATCTAATAGGCAAATAGGTGATCAGCATCCTGTGCCTGACACACGCCGTCGACTTTTTATTTGCTCCATGTCCCGTTACTTATAACGCTTAATACGTTATCATTTGTGGCCAACTGTAATGCAACAAATTACAAGATATTCCTAATACTAAGCAGCTTCATTTATAATCCTATACACATATCTCTTAATATTTAAGAAAATTTAAACCGATTAGACAGGTAAGTTAAATTTTTAGCATTTTAAGAACTCTCAGATACTTAAGACGTACTTATATATGAGATACCGTTGGCTACACTAATCTATTGTTCTGGAAATGTGAGCTTAGGTGTGAATTGTTTTTGTAGACGCCACAGATTAGATTACGACTGAACGTAATCTTACAAAAGAGTTTTTATGATTTGTTTTGTTTATCCGATTTTAATAACGGCTGTTTTGTGTATTGTTTCAAAAGTATGTAAGTATAGGCTTAGTGAAAGCTTAGTACAATAAGAACTTAAGAAGTTTATATCTTTGTGTATCTATTTTCTAGTTAATATTGCCTTTCATTTATGTACTTCATTTAAAAGTATACACTTTACGGGATTAAAACGCGTTTCTATACTTTTAAATTAATCGCGGGTTATCATATTTCTTGTTTCGATAACTAAAACTTTACGTAAAAGAAAAAACGATTTTACTGAACTTGTGCATCGTTAATGTTAAATGATTAAAATACCGCATCCGAAAATCGATTTTACATAAGTCCTTGTCAGTCCGTGAACTCTTGATCGCGGCCGATCAATCGAATTATTATGCTCCTAATTCGATTATCGGACAGTCCGGTAGCCTCCCAAACGGTAATATGTAATAGACGTCATAATCACGATTGTATCATAACTTATATTACATTGAATCTGTGGTCGTTAAACTAGAATTTTTTTTCCAATATGTCCAATTAAACCTTAAATAAATATAATCCGAAACTCAATAGAAAGGCATTTTAAATTGTAATTTGGCGTAAATACAATTGTTCAAATATTATTCTCATTATTAGCAGTTTCGATACATTTAAACGAAATGTGATTTGAAACAATACTTTGAAAAATGGCGCGAAGAAAAAAATTTATAAACGAAATGTCATTTGAAAATTTATTTTTAAAAATGGCGCTGGGACTGTCTTTGATAGAGTATTTTTTTCGGTCTTGTGAGTAGATCCGAAGATGTTGTATATCTAGTTTCTATATCAAATTACCTTAACAATTGATAATTTTTGAAGTTATACTTCTTTAGGCGCGTTATGAAAAATTTATGAGAGTGAAATTTTATAATGCGCGCGCACCTGTGACACAAAATTAGGAGTGTGATTATAGCGTGCGCGAGCGAGATAGGAATAAGACAATCTACAAGTAAAAAGAAATAGAATATGCGTGAAGTTCGTATGCCAAGAATTTTGAATGACCATAATGACATTTGTCATTTACCTTTTAAATGAGGACTACTTAAATGATCCTAATCCTTGGGATTGAATTGCTCCAGTTCAAACAATTTGTATGACAATACTTGGCGATTAAAAAGAGTGGCGGAAAGTTTCTTGCCAGTTCTTCTTACCCGCTCTACGCCCTTGACTTGCGAACTGGTAGTAAATGTAAATTTACGATTAATTTAACTTGACGATTCAAAAGTGTACTTGGTTACCTACTTGAATAAAGATATTTTGAGTTGAGTTTGAGTTTGAGTTGAGTTTGAGTTTGAGTTAAACAAATAAAGGAGTTTTAATTATTTTTTCAAAGAAATTTAGCAATGCTTTTTGAATTATAATCAGAAGTGATTTAAATTGAATATTTAAACCAATACTAATTAATATTTGTGAAAAAAACTGTGCTCATCAACCTTCCTAAGTGCTTCAATACAATTGAGGTTAACTATCCGTATGTATTATTATTATCGAGTAATGTTTTGATTAAAAAATTACCACATTGTTTAATAAAAACATGTAATTTTTCTGATTTAATCTAGCAAATATAAGGACAAGAGACAAAAAAACTATTGATGAATCAGTGTAACTGCACTAAATTGAATACAAAAAAAGAGTTGTCATCTTATCGCTGTGAAACATCAAAAACTGGAGGTGGAACAAAGCCAAACTATTTTTAATAATGTCAAAGAAGTATAACTTCTTACGCGCGTACATAAGTACACGCACCCTTTTTTTTTAAATAAAACAATTCGTTGCGATAAAATTTTTATAGAACCGTTCGTTTTTATTTGGGACAATGAGTAACAAACTAATAGACATACATTTACATATACTAAATTATTACAACGGTTCCGTCCCTATAATATCTGCTCGTCCTATAGTGCTTCCGTCTCAGACATCGTAATGTTTGGGAACAAAATATAAATAAATAGATAAGTAGGATGATTCTTCGTCCATCTGATTGAATTAAGTGGACACTCATAGGCCGCGACTCAACGCGACAATTCATCTGTTCAATTCCGTCGCGATGTTTGTGACCCGCACCTTAAGTAAGGTTAAATAATTGATGCCCACACTAGTGATAGTGTTGAGCTATAGATATCGATAGTTTTTTTTAAATCATATTATTAAGAAAAAATATATAACCGACGGACAAGAGCTGAACTTCTGATGTGAAGTCAAACTGCTTTTGGACTTTTACACTGTCACGTAATATCTAAAAAAAATATTTTTTTTCAAGAATCGAACTTGGCACCTTACAGCACTGACGACTATGCACTGTGTCAAAGACGGTATAGAAATACTTATAACATCGATAAGTTGTACTTATCAAACATCACTATAATAGAAATGAATATGAAATTGAATTAGCGTCGGGGTCGCGCGTGGGCGATGTCACTATACTCCTTAATGCTACTACTACTGACTCTCGAAACTCGACATAGGAGTAAGTGAATTCGTATTGTTAAACGCAGAAGTTTTGCCCATTGCTACTAACATGCATGGGCAAACAATAATGCCTCAGGTTAAATGTCATATTTTGAGTTTGAAACTTTTGAGTTTTAATTACAAACCGATTCAAGTCGATTAAGCGGATAAGTATTTGG